AAGGCGATATTCTTTATTTTCCAAAAATGTCTGGGAATAACCAATAGTATATAATATAGCAGAACACGGACGTTTTACACAAGCCAACGAATCTCACATGTATTTACATTATTTGAATCAAATTGTATTTATAATTATTAAACATTACCATATCTTTTTCTCTTTTAGTTTTTAAAACACAGCCATTTTAATAAAATGCATGTTATGTTTACACGTCGACGTCGCGTATACGTGCTGACCACGATCAAAGATAATCTTTGTCTATTTTATAAGTTATAAGTAGATACCCATTTTATACTAGATAAGATAAGTTACGGTGATGATGCTTTGATAAATTCATTTTTTCGGTGTGTTTTCGGTATACGCTTTATAGGTTTTGCTCGATCTCAATTCGATAACGACTGGATTTCTTATGTGTTATTTGCTATCGATTTTATATATTATTATTTATAAACGATATATCTTTTCTTTTCTACCTCAATTATCCGTAATTTTATTACTAAAGATTTTATAACAGTCGTCTTTTAGGGATCAGAAACTTTAGCACCATTTCTTCTTGACGTTCGCTTATAACATATTACTGAAATATTGCCAACTTAATTTTAAATTGGTTTAAACTACTTTGAGCGAAACGAGAATCATAAAGAAACACAATTTGGGCGAAATGGGTACCCGGGCGAAAAGGGCAGGGTCATTTTTGGGCTAAACGGGCTACGCCCGTTTGCATAATTAATTCAAATAAATAATTTAATTCTAGAAGGGATCGACGATAAACATACCCACATTTCTTGTTCAACTGATAAAATTCGTTCATGTTTTTTAATTCAATTAGTCCCTAAGAATTCATTTTTTTTTTTAGAGTATTACTGATACTAATTTTGAAAATAATTTCGAATCGTCTGATTTATCAGCAATAAATTATTGTAAAGGTTCCGGTGAAATGGGTATAGGTATTAGGTATGATTATTATTTGGCGGCATTAAAATAAAACAGGAGTCATATAATTAAAAGCCAGCGAATTATACTCACACGTTTTTAAACGTTGTACAAGTGTGTGACAATAAGTTTTCCTTTCCGTTTTTTTGGTTGTTATAGCAGCTACAAAACAACAACCATCTGTTAGGGATCTTATCAGGTGTATTGATGCTTCCCTCTCCTTTTCTTCGGGACAAAAGGTACCCTATGTTCTTCTCCGAGGTCTAATCTATCACTGTACCAAATTTCATAAAAATCTGTTTTATGTAGATTCGCAGTCTATCGGACACAAACCGTGGAACACGTCATATATAACATTTACCATAAACAATTTTCGACTTATTCGGTAGACTTTCTACAAATGTTCTTTTGTACAAACCTTGTCCAGACAATTAAGAATACAAAAAAAAAAAAATATTCAGTCAAATCGGTCAAGCCATTCTCAAGTTATGGCGTGACCAAAAGAAATAGGGATTTATATATAGATTTTACTAACATAACTTTTTCGGGGTTGAAAAGTATCAATTATACAACTTTTAAATAATATGTGTTGAGAAAAATGTGAAATGTGAGTAATTACAAAATACAATTTATTATTTATAATAATACATCAGAAGTGGTTTAAATTACATTAAAAAAAAAAAAAAAAAAATACCTTCATGATATATTATAATGATCTTATTATTCTTATATTTATAATTATTTAAAAATGTTATTATAATTATCAAATTGTATTCAATTTTTCTTTCATATTTACTGGTAATTAATTTTATCTAATCAGAATATTATGTTTTTGAATAAAAAAATCTTTCATTTTTTATTTCAGATTTAATAGTTGGTACAGTGTTTTGTATTTTATTTTGTTCCGTTAAAATTGTTATGAGTAAATAATAGAAGTAAAAGTACCTATATAATTCTAAATAAATATTTTGCACAAGAAGATTTTAATTTAAAAATACAATCAAAGTGTTTTGTTTTGAAAAGTTAGTAAATTTTTTTAATCGTAAACCGGTAAAAACATCCACACGGTTCATATAAAACAAACTTTTCTCTTTGCGTCCAATTTCAATTAAAATTTTTGTAATGTAGTCGCTGAACATTTAATTGGATTTGATGCGGTCTAGGCGCATGGAATGTCGATAAATGTTGATATAAAATATAACATACTCGTATCATATGCAATCATAATAATAAAATATGTGTAGGTTTTTTTTTTAGGAACTCGTAAAGTTTAAAAGTTTTTCATGATAATATACTATATGGTAATGTTGGATTTGATAGTGAGCAAAATGAAACGGTACCTTATTTAAGCATTTAAAGGAAATCATTCTCGATTAACATATATCTCAGTTTATGGATATCGCTAAACCATTACTAATATAAAGTGTGGATATAAATTAAACTTGAACATTTATTTTTTTATTTTTATATGTTTGCACATGTTAAGATAATATTTTACCAACACTTGTAATACATTTAGTTCGGGTGGTAATTAGTCACTGTAGTTCAGTTTGACTGAAAAATGAGTTAAAGTTTAAAACAATAGGCATTCGACTAAAGGTATTCTTTTCAACGACGAAGTAAAATATAAAGCTACATTCCTATTTATGCTTACAATTGTAATTAGGGTAAGGTAAACAGCACAAGAACCATTATTGGTAGGTTAAGTATACATTTATTGTTATTATTATGGTTCGGAGAAAATGACTTACGGATACTACTGACATGTATGTGTTTAACCATAAAGTTGTGTTACTAAAAAAATAAAAGTAGTTACGATTTGTGTTTGTTTTTTCTGGGTTGGCCCAAGGCAATGACAATTTTTCAAACATCACAACGTTCGCAACGTGAACGGTTTATAAGTTAGCAGCGGTGGTTGATGAAATAATTAAGAGATAGACTATTCATTTAATAAGTAAATATTAACAATCGTCAACTGTATTTTTCGGTATAAACAATAGCTTTGTTATTAATTTCTTCGTATCTGCAGTGTTTATACAATTTTAAATATGAATAAAAATAACAAATGCCGTAAAGAACTGTCTTTTAAAACTGTCATGGGTAGGAAACAGAGACATTTCTAATTAAAATAAAGAACATATATACACTTAAATATAAATAATTTATGCCAAATAAAATGTGAATATTTTCGTTTTTATTTGATTTAATTATACATATAATTATGTTAGTAAATTTTTTTTATTTTTCTCCGGCTGCTTTTGGGATTGAAACAAGCACAATTTATTTTCCAACCCTTATAATTTTAACAATTATTAACAATTTCATTATTAATGTTTCATTTTATTTTTTTATTTTTTTTATGCACCGATAATAAAATAAGCACTATATTTTTATTTAATTTTTATTAGTATAACGATAGTAAATATATTGTTATTATCTTCATTATAAAATTAAACAAACAAATCAAAAGATATTTACCAGATCAGTTACAAAAATCTTTTATTGGGTTTTTGATATCCGGCCAATTTCGATGTTTTAAACTCAAGACCCATGTAACTCAGGAACCACTTTCTATAATTTCTTTGATTAACTTTGTTTACCTTTGTTTACAAGGCAGCGAATTTATTTTTAAATAAGTTTCTTGCTTCATAGCGATTTACAAAATTATTCTCATATGGATAAAATGAATAAATAAATATTTGTTTTCCATGTTTGGATTATATTTTAATAATTATTATTATTGAAAACATTATGGTAAAATTGATGGTAAAATGTTGATTTTTTTTTCTTTTTAATAAAAGACTACGGTTTAACAATGAATTATACCGATCAAAACACTTAAAAATTTACTAGCTGAATTACCCGGCTTCGACCGTGAAAATAAATGTTTATCTTTATGTCAAGTAAGATTATTATAGGCAGATAAAAAAAATAATTAAAGCCGTCGTTATTTTAATGCTATTGTACTACGTACATTGTATTTAAACTCGATGAAATTATACTGGCACCGAGTTGTCACGCGTTCGTTGGTGAAAGATCGCAAATTTTGGTCGCCCCAAATTGCGTAATTTGCAAGCAAGAAATAAATGTACGTGTCTTGCGCGAAAATAATTTCGAATCGTCCGATTGACCAGCAAAAAGTGATTATAAAAGTTCCGACGAAGTGGGTAGAACGAAAAACAGTACAACTCTTCCTGATGCGCAACACGTGTGTGGGAGTTTAATTGCTGAATTTTAACGCCTGACGGAATTTGCATACTTTGTCCATTGCACCGATAGCAATTTTATAGTCCGCAAAGTAATTAATATCCGGTGCATATCCAAATGACGAACAAATTATGTTAATGCTCTGCGTACGCAACCAAACCGTAAGCAGTGCACAAAGTCGTTACACATCAGCAACCCGTACGAGATGTGTAGAGCATAAAAAGGTATACTCTTTGATTTTTACAGACACACGTACGCGCGCGCGCATGGCCATGCGTTAAGATTTGATCTCGGTCTAATCGGAAAACGAATTTTCAAAACATCGCTTTTGACGCGTATATTTTGATTATAAAAAGCTAACGATGCGAACGTTTTTGCGTAAGGGGACAAGAGAGTTTGGAAATAATATTTCGAAACAACTATACGACATATATTATAATGGGATGTTCTGCGGCTGATGGTCGCCGTAATTTGAAACGCGAACGCACAAAGCGAATATTCTGACGGGATTCCACGCGTGCGGCGTTCGGGGCGCGTGACAAGATCAAAAGGAAAGAACCGTTTCGACTTCGATCGGATGTAATTTTTTTCTCTATATTTCCAAACGAAAAAAAAAAAATATCGGCGCGCGACACGCGGTACGGTGACGAAGAAGAAGACGTGCGAACCGAGTTGGGCGGGACCAGCGCACCTGCGACTGGGTAAAACGACAGGTACGCTGTGATCCGGTTGTGCCGTCGACCCCCTGCCCGGCAGCGGACCGCCCACCACCGGTGAGATGCGTTACGTCAGGGCGACCACCTACCCTCACTACTGGGAACGATAGACGAACCCTCGCACCGGTTTGCCGGCTATACCGTCCGAGTCGGTCACGGGGTTCACACGCGCTCTTCACGTGTCACGGAGTAGTCAGTCGGTCAGGTCGTAGTAGCGTTGTGTTCCGGCAGCCGAGATGAACCTGGCGCAGCAGCACCACCACGGTGATTACGACGCGTTCGCGTACGATGACGGTTTCGCCGTGGCCCAGTGTTACGACGACGAGCACCCGTGGTACCCGTTCGTGACGGACCACATCGACGGCGGCGCGAGCGATTGCAGCAGCGCGTTTGGGGACGCGTTGCCGCTGGGCTCGAGCGATTGTAGCAGTGCATTCGGGGACGCTTTACCGCTCGGTTCGAGCAACTGCGGTTCCGCCGGGGCAACGGCGCACTCGGGCCTGGCCGAGGTCAGTGGACCGCGAGCGTATGGCGGTCGCGTGGCCGACGCAGCGGGCAGGAAGCGTCGGAGGTTGGCGGCGAACGCTCGTGAAAGACGCCGCATGAACAACCTGAACGAGGCGTTCGACCGGTTGCGCGGAGTGGTGCCGGCCACCGACGATGAGCGCAAGCTGTCCAAGTTCGAGACGCTTCAGATGGCCCAGACGTACATCGAAGCCTTGCACGAGCTGCTCGGCCATTCGCCGGTGGCCACCGATGGCCGTGCGGCCCAGTGCTCCCAGCACTCCCAGCTGCTGCAGTAAGTCCCGTATCGTTCGTATCTCGTCTTGCGCACCATCATCTTGTACACGTGCACCACCGGACTGCAACGGTCGCCGGTCGGAATCCAAACCCAACGTTCGATTCAAACGCGATATCAAAGAGTAAACCCCGTCCCGTTCAAAGTCCCTGCCTCCTGTTCCTGTTCGATTTCGTACCGAAATACCAAAATTAACATTTTTAACGCGTTATACGGCGTTATTCGAATTTAAAACTCTAAGTTATCGACACTGTCCCCTACCGTCCTACCATCCCAATTGAATCAAAACTCCGCGAACCGATTGCTGTACCATTTCGTTCGGTACCGTTAACATATGATCATTTATTACGTTCGCGCGCGGGGATTGTGATTAAAACGAAATCATTCGATGATCCCGGTTTGCGCACGTTTTAATAATAACTCTGCTCTAATAATAGCTCTAATAATAGCTCTGCCTGTAGTGTATTCGACTAAAAAACGATCGAAATCGGAATGATCCGCATGCAACCGTAATGAATTTACAAAAGTCCGAGCCAATGATGTGATGTGCATTTCAATTTGTGTCGATCACATAAATCTGCGTAAAAAACTGAAATTGTACAAAATCAAAAATTGTATTGAAACTAAATATTGCGGAATAATAAGCAGGGGACCAAACTATAATATTTTTACTATTTTTCCAAAATTGAATTTGTTTAAATTGTTATATTAAACGAATATAAATTGTAGTTTTATAGATTTTTTAAATCGCTCATAACTCTCTTTTTATTCATTTATGTATGCCCTTATCATTTTTTTTCCGTCATTATTTTTGTTTGTTTTCCATTAACATGTTATTACATAAATAAGAGTTAAATAATCATACACTGCTGTGTATTGAATAACATGTTACACCTATTCTAGTATTATTATTATTATTATTATTTATAAATTATTGTTAGTATTTTGTAAAAACCATGTATTTGAGACTGTAAACTTAATTTACATATTTTTTTTTATGAAAATGTACTTAATTTGTGTTAATAAACATTTTGTTCATTTTAGTCAAATAAAAATTTGTTTATTTTTTATTATTTGATATACCTCTCGTGGTTATAAAAAATTATCTTATAAAACTTAATTATAAAAAGTATCGAAATTCTGAAATTTTGATCAAAAATATTGTTTTTTATGTAAGTTGGAAAAATCCATTATTATGATGAGTTGTGTATGTATGAAATTTACTCGATTTTCGGCCGAAACCTTGCTAAAGTCTTAACTTTTTAGTGGATTTTAAGAAGAAAATAAATAGATATTTAAATAAGACACAAAAACTATATACTTTTATTTGCCTGCAATCGTTTTATAATAAAGATATTTTTATCTCTATGGTAATTTTCAGGTATATTGTATCAAATGATAACGTTCAATAACATAAAAATTAAAAGTAAATATAACTAAGTAGAATAATTGAAACATACCTCCACATCAATGACATTTGAATGTTGTGAAGGTAGATTTCTCTGCATGAAATAAAGAACGCATTACATATCCTCACTGTCCATGAGTCAATTTCCAAAAATTTGGTATGAGTATCGATATTAGAGAACACCAAATATATTCAAGCTGAGGGAATACATTTCAATTTACATCAGGTAAAAACATATGTTTGCACTCTCCTCACCAAATTTTTTATCGATTCATTATTGATTTATAATACTAAACATTACGTATCTGTTTTAAAAGGGTATGTTTTTTTATGGTATTATGAAACCTGACAGTATAATTAACCTGAATACGCTTTTTTGCACACCTTTCATTTTGATATGTGTTGCTGTTATAACTAGACTCTAAAATGGTTTGTTGAGAATTCAAACTCTTCGTACTCATTAAAAATATTGAAATAATTTCCAAGTGTCAAGCGATTTTCAGTAATATTATACAATAAAAAATATATTTTAAAATAAATTTGTGTGTATTGTCATGATGGATGCAGTCCCTTGCGGATTTTTATTTCATTGTTTTGCGTTCATCTTGAATACATAACGATACTAGTTATGTAACTGATAGATATGATACTAAAAAGTAAAAGGAAAATGTTAGTATTATTTTTGGTGTTTACTACTTTGATAAAATATTATTAATGGAAAATATTAATATCTTAGTGTGTTTAAAGATGAACCGAATTCGACAATCAGTTAAAGTTATTTAGATACTCCTAAAAAATATAAAAATAAAATTTTCTGAATTAGTGTAGTTTGAATATAATCGTCTGGTAAAACATATTTAGTTTAAAGCAGATTAAAATTTAATTATATTATAATTGTTGAAAATTTATTTTAATTAATTATAAACCTAACTAATTTTACAACCATGCATTTTGCATCGGCCGGTCCGGACCATGGGTAACGAAAAGTAGTGTGTGTACCTCGGATACAAAGATCGATGTTTTCGTTGGATGGTGGCAGAGTTATTCGCGGGACAGAGGACGTTACGCGACACAGCGGCGAAAATCCCTGGGAGCAGAGGGGGCAGTTGCCCCCCTCAAAAGTTTTGGTGGTGGGAGTGTTGATGATAGGTACCTATTTCATAACTGATAGGTACTCATATTATTAATATACGATTAATTACTAATACTCGTGATTAATGAAGTTAGTGTCTGAGTCTGGTGTTATTTAATTTGATATTTCTAGCAATAGCCAATAATGCATACCTACATTTAAACTACACAGTAGTTGTCCGTTGAAATAAAGTAGTATCTTTTAAAAATAAAATGTTATCAATTATAACCGTCGCCCGTCGGCTGTCCGTCGACCGTCGCGTCGGTGGATAGCATTAATTGGAAAAAAACGTTTATAAATAGATTTGTTAATTCTATTTTACAATAGCATTTCGATAGTGGCATATGCACTCTATGCCTTATTATTATTTGAAAAGTGGTTTGTAAATAGTGCTACTGATAAACATATGTAATGTGTTCAATGTTAATCTTTTGTTTTAATATGTTTCGTGTATTTTCATTTTTAAAAACTAAAATTACTTCTGAGTTCTGATTTTAAAATAAAAACAATGAATCCAGAAATTTGTGCGTGTGGTAAACTGCGTGGATTATTAAATAAAACAAATTGGATGCGGCATCTTAGTTCATGCAAAAAACGAAAGTTATGTTCGAACAATAGTATTGTCAAGTTTTTAAAATTTACACGAATTGCAAGTAAGTACCTATTTATTAAAAATAAAAAAGTTTATTAAATATTGAAAATTAATTAATATACCTTAATACCTAATATATGATAGATATACATTATATTATATATTTTATTATATAAGTGAAATATGTATTATTAATTTGCCTGTTTGTATTAACAATTAACTAACTTTTTTTAGTAAACATATTATTTTATTGAATTTTCCCTATTTCTATACATTTTGATTATTTTAAAAATTATATAAATAAGAAAGAATTTTTTAAACCAATTCACTCAATTTTTTTGTGTGAACTGAATGTAGATGAAGCAGCGTCAAGTACCTAATTTATTTTATTTTTTAAATAATTAGGTATACAAACAGGAAATAATTTATCTTTATTTATAAATTATAAATCTACTTAAATAACTATGGTTTATAATATAACCATAAAATAATAACTCTGTGTCTCTGCATTATTTAGTTATGTGATACATAATTAAAAAAACATTTAAAAAGTTTGATGGTTATGGTTTATGTTGTACCTACTTATATTTTGGATTGTATTATACTTTAGAATAAGCTAGTAATAAATAATTATGTAATTACTAGGTACAATTTTCTTGTGTATACCGATACACTTGCATTATTTAACTAAATTGTTAAATTTTCTTTAAATGTGACTGCAACAAAATCTGCGGCTAATACAGACTTAAACTTATTAATATCAATTCACTCATTTTTTTCAAATTAACAGACTTTAGATAAAGGAGCACCAAGTAATTGATTTAAAATTTTTAAATTAATACATAAACAGCCGAGATGTAAGTAGTAAATACATTTGAATAATTTATAGTTATTTATAAATTATTTAACTAACTAAAGTTTATAATATATTAACACATGTTTAAAAAATAGTAGTTCTCTGATTATTTTATAATTTAATACTTAATTTAAGAAATATAATGGATATAGCACAGAATAGATTAAATTAGATAAAGTAAGTTTATGTTGTATTTATATTTGGAATTTATTTTATTTAAGAATAAGGCAGTAATAATAATATATTTTAAACTACACTTGTCTAGTATATAATACTTATAATTGTTAATTTTTTTTTTATGACACTAGGTGTTGAGTCTGAACTTGAAATTAATGATAATGCATATGACAAGACTGATCCCATGTTACATATTGATCATGATCCTTCGTTATCAAGTAAAATTGTTACATTTTCATACAATTTTTAAATTTAATTGATCTAACAAGAATATCTCATTATAGCTGCACATAGTTTGAAAATTACTCCAAAAAAATCCGGGGCTAATACGGACTTAAACTTATTATTGCCAATTCACTCATTTGTTTCAAGTGAATAGACTTTAGATAAAGGAGCACCAAGTAATTGATTTAAAATTTTTAAATTATTATATAAACAGCCTAGATGTAAATAGTAAATACATTTGAATAATTTATAGTTATTTATAAATTATTTAACTAACTAAAGTTTATAATATATTAACATATGTTTAAATAAATAATAGTTCTCTGATTATTTTATTATCTGATACTTAATTAAAGAAATATAATGGATAATGTAAGTTTATGTTGTATTTATATTTTGGAATCTATTTTATTTAAGATAAGGCAGTAATAATAATATATTTTAAACTACACTTGTATAGTATTAATACTTATCATTGTTATTATTTTTTTTTTATGACATTAGGTGTTTGGTCTGAACTTGAAATTAACGATAATTCATATGACAAGACTGATCCCATATTTCATATTCATCATTTAAAGAGAGGTACTTGTTTAATTAGTTTTTGATAAAAGTTGAGCTATTTATTGTCAATAATATAATTTGTTGACTCATTTATACGCAATATCATAATTTTACTTTGGTAAACGAGGAAACTTGATGTTTCTTGGATTTTTGGTACTCTAAAAAATAATGGTTAATGTATTTGGGTGGGTGGGTGGGTATCGTTCAAGTTTGCCCCCCATCGTTAAAAAATGATTTGCGCCACTGACGCGACATATAAATATAAATTGTGTAATAACGTTTGTTCTTAGAAATTCGAACGTAACAAAGGTTTACTCGCATGAGATATTTATTCAAAATGGCTATGATGATTTTCGACGAAATATCCATCGTAGCAATATTAATGATAATATTAATACATTTTCCAAATTAATATCATACTTAAAGTACAGCCCCGCTGAACGCGATTTGTGATTTTACGTTTAACGATTTTACGATTTCATCAAAACTATAGAACTATGGAATGGTCTCATTGAATGAGAGCGTTTCGCGTTTGCGTTTTACAATAAATCGCTTTTAACGTAAATAAATTCAAATAGTTTGTTTTCTTGCAATTAGTCGCTCTTGAAATTTCCACCATTTTTGTTGATCCAGAAAAACATTTTTTTAAAAGAACTAATTTGGAATCCTTGCCCTATGCTGGTCATAAAAATAGGACTATTATTCAACAATGTTGGTCTAATTTAAGCAAAAATATGATTATAAATGGTAAGTACAATGATTTTATTACACAAATAAATACAAAATATAAATTATCCAAGTGTACTTTATTTTAATAGAATAAATATTGGGATATAGCTTTATTTAGGCATTAAAAATATTTATCATAAAATATTAAATACGCGGGAGTAAAAAAATCGGCAATAAAATCGTAAAAATCGCTGGACAATATCGCTCGCACAATCGTTCGCGTTGCTAATCACGTTCAGTGAGGTCGGCATGGCACCTAGGCATTTAAGAGCATACTGTTTCGTAGTTGAAATAAAGATCAAAATGATCTCTTCTGTTGGTCGACGATGTTCGATTACAAATATATGATATATTCGACTGTTTATCTAAGCTCTACACAGCAGAAATATTATCATTGAAGTACTTAAAATACGTATGAAAACGGCGCCAATTTCTTCAAGCCGATTATTTAATTACAATTTTTAGTTGTAAAATTAACACTTAGTTGAACGGTTAATACGTTTATTTTTTTTTCGAATTAAAGTTTTAATTTTCGATTGTCATTTTATTCTTATATTATTATTTTAGATTCAAATTTTTATTATTTTATTTACAGTATAATTTTTTCGTATTCAAACTGAATTTAATGTAATTATAATTTGATTATCTCTTAGAGAAGTAATACTTAATACTTACTTAAGTAATACTTAAGCATCTGCAGATGTGTATCAAGAAAAATATTTGATGGAATTTACGCCATGCTAAGACTTGAGATTGACAGACTTAAATTTTTAAAATATTTAATTCAGTCACCGTATTAGGTAGGGAATGACCAAAGGAATTTTCTTTATTTTAATCAATCAATAAAATACTGACAATTTGAGATATAACAATTTTTGTAGTTTCGTATATATCTAAGTTATATTTCGTAATACATTTTTTTGATCAAATATTAGTAAAATTGTTAAAGATTTTCAATTTATTTTCAAAATTAAAATCTGTAAAACTTAAGTCCCACAGTTTTGTCTAGCTTATGACTTATCTTATATAATTATTTGTATTGTATACAGATATATTCCTCAACAATAATGAATTGATCCGATGTAGACCCATATCTTGTCAATATTTTAAAAATTAAATTTTATTAAAAGTAGTTAAAAGCAGGGACTGAGACCTGATCGAAAAGAACCGGTTACGGAACCTAAAATCTAGTGTAAATTAAAAAACCGAAAATAACCGTTACCTGTATTTTATATTTTTAATATACCCTAACCAATACCGAAACCTATAAACAATACCAAAAAAATACCGATTTTTTAAAGGGTTTTTTGCTGTTTTCAAATTCCTATTGAAATCGAAAGAAATTACTCTTTAAACTAAAGATATATTATTTAGAAACAATAATTACATATAATAATTTATATTATACAGTATTTACGCAATGTTATATTCAGCCGTCGACTAATGAATATAATATTATTGTCTAAGGAATATTAATATATATTATGTATATGTTACACGATAATGTCGATAACGGATCATTTATGCGGACACAGCAGTAAGTTATTTTTAAAATTACAAAAATGACACTGGGTTTTTGAAGTATTTATTTTTATTACATATCTACACGTCAAACACAGTACAAAGGCATATCGTATTATCGTTATTAGTTATTACCGAATAACGGTACTTAGTGGTGAATTTGCTATATTTGCTATTCAGTCCCCGACGTATGAACACGCAGTCTACCTTTATTAGTTTGAAAGTATCAAATTAAAATTATGGGCCGTCATACCGCGCCATGCGTTTATAAATATTTTGTTTACGATAAAAAATCCAACGAGTCAGTTTATAAAAGTTGCAATGGAAAAATAAAAGTAAGTAGTTACACATTTTTGTTTCATTTAATTTTAATTTGAGTTTAAAATCATTGACGAAAGAATTAAAATAATATGGTAATAAAATGGTAGGTAACTATGTAATATTCAAGTAAATAGACAAGACGATATCATCTTTATAGTTTATATCTATACTATCAACTATAATAGTGCAGTCTTGAATAATTTATTCTGGTCCTATTCGCTATTATGTTAAAAATACCCAATGTGAATATTATGTGATTATTTACAAAATAAAAAATGGTGCAAACGCACCCGAATGCGTTCCGTTAATCATATCGTACCTTTTTAATAGCTCAATTGCGTCCGCGATATTATTGCTAACAATATTTATCTTTATGAATAAAATAAATTGATAACTAATATTGCACCGTGTTTGTTTGCATTTACACTATACTCCAAACGTAGAAACATACTATTCGTAACTAGTCTTCGACAACCACGTGCAGTATGTGTAGTGATGGGTATGCAGCTAACATTACCATTTTAATATATTTAATTAACATTTTATATTAATTAATGTTATTACTTAATATTACGTAAGTTCTATATATTTGAAAGATGTCGATGTCGTTGCCGTCGAATATGATCAGCCAACACAGTAAGGAACTTAAAATTATTAAGGGATATAAAATGAAATTTCATAAAATGTTGAATGATGATGTAAAACGATGCACAGTGGGAGGAATACGAGTTCTAGCCGGCCAAAATTAATAAGGTCAAAAATCAATACATAAATGATAGGTAAATAAATATTACACATAAAATAAATTCTATTACAACATAATTTATTACTTTATCAACTATAACTATCAATAACAAAACAAAATATCACCAAATAACAATAACATTAGTTCATTTTATAACTAAAGTTAAATACTTATATTTTATTATTTATTTAAACGTTTGTAGAAATTATGTTGATATAGATAACAGTTGAGGCGAGTATACATTGAAATAACGAAGTTGAATAATAATATTACAAACAAAATCGTTTTATTTTTTACAATAAACATTTATGTATGATATTTAAAAATTAAATTTATCTGGTACTTAATTTAATAACAAAAAAATTAATAAATATAAAAAACATTAATAATTATTCAGAATAACTACTACTTATTTCACTATCACTAGTTTCTATTTCTTTCAGTTCTGAGCTTTCAATGTTAAGTAAATTAATGGCTTTTGGACGTAATTTAGTATGTGATTAGTTAGGTTGTGTTCTTAAACTTGTAATTAATGGATCAGATGACACTAATAAGAAATTAAAAACATCTCTATTTGTATGAATACGTGATGATTTTCGGGAATGATGTTCCCTGAATCGATTATAGTTTTTATTACTTGCCTCTTGGGCCTCCTCCGACAACTGCCCAATCGGTACAAGAGCATTTTTTATAATTAATGAGCCATGAATTAAAATTTTGTGTACACTTGGTGGCATTCTGTACCAGTTATAATGTTTGACATAAAGTTCTGCAGTCTGTATTGCATAGTTTTCGAATTTGTCAGAATTTATTTCATAACCACAAGAAATAACTGTTAAAATAGTTGAGAATCGGTTTAATAAATTTAAATTGATTCCAGTGATTTCTGCAACTTTTTCTGTGTTCCTAAAAAACCGTCTAGCGACATTTCCTGTATTAGACGTACCTCTTCCCTGAACAACTTTATCAACTTTAATACCTAATTCATTCCAAAGACGAAATTGTATTTCCTTCTTCTTTTCCTCGATTTTTTTCTTTTGTTCGGAAATTGTTCGTTTCGTAGTAGGAGCCGATTCTAATTTATACGCAATGTGCAATATTAATTCTAAAAATTTTATCCACGCGTGTAAACTTGACATTCCATTCTTAACATTATCTTCATTAACTATAAAACGTTTTATGTTATCCAAATCATTCATGTTAGTTGGGTTACATTTACATATATAACAAAGTTGACTCGAAGATTCTGGCAATGTATTTATAACCTTTCCATCAACCATTGTCATAAGCATTGTGTAGTTAACACATAAAACACTATTGTTAATATTCAACTCGACGGATTTTAATTCCATAATTTCTTTCTCTACTTTTCCGACTTCAGTTTTTGTAACTTCTTTAGTTTCTTTTGCATATAAAAATTTTAAAGGTCTACAGTATCGGGTAGAAGAGGGTGTCGGATTTTCCCATAAAATAAATTGAGTGTTCGAATCCGTAGTAACTCCTGTAAGACGCAATGGCACAATGCAGAATAAAACAATGCTACTGACAGTTATAGCATTTTGTCTGCACTCGGTAGTATCATCAGTTTCAATATCAAGAAAATTTTGGTGGTATTCGCTATGACCCGAACTACCATCGAATCCCCACTTACATGTACATTTTAGCTCGGAATACTCTTCCGCATAATCAATTGTATCATCAAAATCTAATGTTTCCCAAAACCGTTTAATTATATGGTCCAACAAATTTTGAAG